GTAACAGGTAGAGACAGAGAGATACAGAGAGAGACAGAGAGAGATGCAGACACGTAGAGGGATAGGTTTAGAGAGATACAGAGAGAGAAAGAGAGAGAGAGAAAGAGATACAGAGAGTAAGATAATTTGTCCCCCATGCCACCACCTATAAGGGCACTCACCTGTTCCAGCGACCATTACCTGAGACTGGATTAATATAACCACCGCCTCAGTTAACGCTAATAATAACGGTTATATTAAACCTCTCACGTGACTTCAGCGACCCAGATAAGTGAGTCTTCGGTGAATCGATATGAATCACTGTGGGTGGCACACACACACACACACACACACACACACACACACACACACACACACACTGATAATATCTGTTTACGAGGCGCAGCAATACCTCACCTTACGATCTCCCTGGCTGGTTGGCTGACTGACTGAATGACTGACAGTCTTTCAAGGATAACTTATGGAACTTTTCAATGTCTACTTTCTTCAAGATTTACCGTTACGTATTGTACATATACACTGGAAGTATACAATACACAGTTCAGTATATAGGGAATGCAGGTCTACCGACGGTGAACAATTACTCATAAGAGAACCCCCCCCCCCCGCTTGAACGTTTTAATGACATGTTTTCAATGTTAATTACTCGCCCTTGTGAGACGGTGAAGTGCTTCCCCAACTGAGTACTGTCACCCCGTCTGGTCCCCGAGATATGCTAGGGACTGTTAGATGGTTGAAAATGTCAAAAGGAGGGCCACCAGACTGGTGCCTGCACTACGGCACCTCCGTTACCCAGAGAGATTGGAGCGCCTGAACTTGCCTAGCTTATACTACAGACGGGCAAGGGGTGACCTAATTGAGGTGTATAAACATCTCAGAGGACACTAATCAGTCGAGTGTCCTTACTTGAAGCTGGTGGACGCTCGCCCCACAAGGGGTCACAGCTCAAGTTTGAAGAAGCCATACAAGTCCAGAAAAATGTGAGGGGCAAACTTTTTCGGAGTGAGAGTTGTGACGGCACTGAGTGTGACAAGACCAGACTTGACCGACACTGAAACAGGTTTCGGCATATTCAGGAGCCGGTGCATGCCCAGTACTTGCCAACAGTGCGTAATAGAGACTTGACCGATAGCCCAAGCGGCTAACGAGCCGATCAGTGGTGAAGAGGACAAAAGTAATGTCAGCTTCCTCTCCACAGCTTAACGTTTTCCCAAGTTCTTCACACTCCTCTGCCTCATTGATCATACTTGGAAAGTTGTGCAACACGACACATCAGACGTGAAATACGAATCCCACTAAACCACAAATATATTGTATTTATGAAAGGCTCCCTCAGTGAAGGGTTCCCTCAGTGAAGGGCTCCCTCAGTGAAGGGCTCTCTCAGTGAAGGGCTCCCTCAGTGAAGGGCTCCCTCAGTGAAGGGCTCCCTCAGTGAAGGGCTCCCTCAGTGAAGGGCTCCCTCTCAGTGAAGGGCTCCCTCAGTGAAGGGGGCCCTACACACACCGTAGCTGGGGCCGGCCCTGGATATTGGTTTAGACATTAAGTGTTAATTATTTCACGTTGAACCATTGAGATGTATGAACTACTGTACAATAGTGAAGATAGCCTAGCCAACTAAGGGGACGACTGTGTCAGAGATGACAAGTTCTGTATGTCTGCCGCCCTCAAAGCCACGAAGAAAAAATTGTATTATTAGAACTATTTATAATTAAGCTACAATTTCAGTGTCCTATAACTCTGACAGAATTATCTTGTGCTATGAAGGTTCAAATGCATTAGCGTTGTCATTGGTCATTTCTAGTGTTCATAAAGCAATTAAATATTTGATGTACAGTGGACCATATACTGTATAGTGGTCAAATTTAGTAACGGCAAGATGGAGATCAAACGGGAAGTGACGGGCCAATGGGCAATAATGGACTTAGTAGTGTACTGTAGCAACTCAATGTGCAAGATGAAACTTGTATAACGCGAGTGATACATTTCTCTCCACCAATCCGTCATTTTCCCACCAATCTCCGGAAGTTACAAATCTGTGTTTAGTGATTAGTAAAGAAAATAAAATGAGTAGCTAATGTTAAATATGAAAACCTACCAAACTAAACTTGGAGGCTGTGTTTAATATTGAAGAAAGGCAAAGATGAGAGTTAATAAATGGTTCTCGAGATGCTATGTTGGTTAAGTTATATCCGGCTTCGTTTTATTTAACACTTTATTGGTTCATTATTAGTACATAATCATAATACAGGGAGTCTGGCACAAATTAAGCACTGATTAGTTCACGTTTGTGCTTTTTATTCTTGTTGTACTAACAAATATAACCTAACTTGACCGGCTGGGAACCTAAGCTCCCTTATTGCATTGAGTTATAGGATGAAAATTGCTGCATTGTTCACATAATCGTTACAAATATGGACTATTAGGAATGGAACCGATACTGTAATGAGAACTCCCTGTAAACTTAAATAATATCTAATATTATACATTAACTAAATTTAAATAAAAGTTTGGTTGTAATAACTAGACTGGTGCAGCGACTGGGTGAATACAACGCTGCTCTCGTATCAATCTCAGGGCAGGCAGTCCCGTCCCACTCAGGGGTAAATGACTACAGGACCTTCAGTATACAGAATGAAGGATGGTTGAGTGCAGTGCCAGCCATATTGCCTCCTTGTGTACTGAGACACTTTATAATTGTTAATGTTATATTTTTCATGGCTACAATTATGAACAAAACAAATATAGTGGAGAGACCTGATCTGTTGGGGTGAATTATTTTTTATAATTTACGCCCACTGTCATGGAAATTATTGTTATGTATGTTTCAAATAGCTGCTACTGTGAGTTCATGTATATCAAGCATATCACTTACAAAACCAAACTGTGGTGGAAATGTGAGAAAAAAAATCCTGTGGTTGCTGAATGTAGGAAAAATAACAGTTTAAGAATATCTACAACAAAGATAATTTTATAGAATTGATGTTTTAAATACAATTGCATTTTAAAGACTTATTCCATGATTAAACTATTTAAAACAGTTTAGTGTAATTACCATTTAACGAATAATAATAGAGGTGTATTAATTCACAAATAAGGTTTTAAATCATACACAGGTAAAAGTCATAATTAAAGGTTTTATTGTTACAAGTATGGTCAAAGATAAGAGCGTAACTGCCTCACCTTAATAAAACACAGGTAAGATCTATTTACATGTCTAATAGAAGGATACACCCGCTATGTAGACTTATAACACGTATATAGATTATCCAGTTTACTCTTCAAAAAAATGGTATAGTATTCCTCATCAATACAAGATAATGATCTGATTAATATTGATTCGTGATAAATTAATGTTACGAACAATATACTAAGTCTAAATTCTTATATAACTCTCAGCTATTGATAAAAGCCGCGTGATATAAGTTAATGCAAAATATAAGAGAAGCTGCAACTAATATTAAATTAATGATAAAATATAGATGAGAGGCGAGTATTTTTTATCGTAAGTCCATTCCATAGACTTAGAGGGATGACTGTGAGGGCATACGGAATTCGGGGGTGTCCTAGCGTGCCTCGGAGGCTTTCTTCAGGACCGCAAGCACTGTGTGGTGATTAATGGTACGAAATCGTCAAGCGTACCTGTGGCAAGCGGGGTACCACAGGACAGTGTACTGGGCCCGTTGTTTGTTTGTTTGTTTCATAAATGACGTGCCTGACGCTGTACACTCCTCCATACAAATGTTTGTGGACGATGCCAAGTTATTCAGGGTAATTAATAACCAAACAGACTGTGAAGAGCTTCAGAAAGATCTCTGTTAGCTTCAGAAGTAGTCAAAGAAATTGCTGTTAAGATTCAACGTCCCGAAATACAAGAGGGTAGACCTACTGTGGGTCGTACCAACAGTAACAGTAAGAAGTCGTCTATCACATTTCCAAACGGGATGAAAAAACTGCAATAATGGAGACCAAATATGCAAAGGACCTGGGTGTGTATGTTGACAACGAACTGAAGGTCTCAGGCTATTGTGAGAAGAAGGTGAATCAACCAACTAAACTTGTGAGTCTTATAAGAAAGTCGTTCAGATACCTAGACGGTCCGTTCCCAATATTGCTCTTCAAAAGTGAGGTGCTTCCCTGATTTGAAGTACTGTCACCCCGTCTGGAGTACTGTCACCCCGCCTGGTCCCCGAGATATGCAAGAGACTGTCAGTTGATTAAAATCGTCCAAGTTTGTATGGCGAATCGTTCGTCTGAAATACCATCCATCCGACAGAACACGACGGAGTAAACACCACCCATCCGACAACACGACGGAGAAAACACCATCCATCCGACAGAACACGACGGAGTGAACACCATCCATCCGACTCACACAGCAAACCATCCAACTCTAAGGGTCAAGGTTCACCGCCCAGGGTTACCGCCAGGGCTCGACTGTATTGACCCCGTGTTCACAGAGGAAGTGCATGTCGAACTCACAATGGAAGTCTGCCCACTGGTACCCGAGGAGCCCGCCCACCAGGTACATGCAGTGCTGGTCTCCCCCGCTAGGCTGAGATGGGCCCCAGTTACTGTACGACACCAGCTGACCTGAGAGACACAGAGAGACAATGATAAATGAGAGATAGAAACACAAAGATAAACAGCAATAATAATACCGCCCACCTGTAGGGAACCACGCCCACCTGTATACACTCCACCTGTAGTAGGGAACCACGCCCACTGTATACACACTAGGGGAACCACACCCACCTGGCCACGTTGTACACTCACCTGTAGAGCACTCACCTGTAAACCACACCCACCTGTACGCCACACCCACCTGTATACACTCACCTGTAGTTGTGATGACCTGTAGTAGTGTATAGGGACCACGCCCACCTGTGAGGAACTAGCCACGCCCACCTGTATACACTCTAGGGAACTATACAATCTCTGTATACACTCACCCACACCTGTATACACTCTGTAGGGAACCACGCCCACTTTCCACTATGGCTTGTCTCCAACCCAAACGCCGGTGTTGTGATGACCTGTAGGTGGAGGACGCCTCTCTCTCTCTAATGTATATATTAATCAATCTCTCGCTCTATCGCTCTCTCTCTTTAATATACTGGTCTCTCTCTCTCTCTCTCTCTCTCTCTCTCTCTCCACCTACCATTGACAGCCAGCCACTTCTTGATGAAATAGTTCTCCTGCAGCGTTTCTATGGTGGCCAAGGACACGCCGCTGCCGAAGGAGTGACAGAACTCAGCCGCACGGAACCAGTTGAGAGGAAAATAGCCGTAGAAGTAACAGCTGCCACCGACCTCATGAAACGCCATGGGACACTTGCTGTGAATCTGGTACTTGAGTGGACTGGTACCTGAGGTGGGGGAGGGTGGGGGGGGGTTAGTGGTCGGTCTGTCTGTCTGTCTGTCTGTCTGTCTGTCTGCTCACAGAGTCGTATGTATGGTTAAGTAAGCACAGGTGTATAATTTAAGGTGTTCAGGTCCAATGGGTATAAACTGATGTGTGTTTACCTGCCGACACACACACACACACACACACACACACACACACACACACACACACACACACACACACACACATGCCATCATCATCATCATCTCCAGAACAGAATTATACACACCTAAAAACACAAACAACATCACATCATCCCCCACCACCCCAGCCTCCCCCCCCCCCCTCCTACCCCCACCCTCACCAACCTACATACCTGGCCAATTACACCTCTTAATTGCTTTCTACACACAGTCTTACAATCGGTAATTTATTTGTCGGTCAATAAATCGGATGACTCACCGATAACTCACCATTGTATCGGATCAATCTGTCAGGAACGTCTTCTTGTGAGTAATCTTCAGCTTATCTGACTTACTTACCTGTAGGTGAATCCTCCCCAGGTGTGTCATTGATAATTGGGTCAACACCTGTAATGTTATGAGGCCAGACACATACTGTACACCTGTTCATTACTCTGGTTACCTGTCTGGCCCATATTTTAGGGGCAAGGGAGAGAAGGGGGCGGGGTGTGGTTAATATTCTTACGCTGATGATTCTACTCTTCACTCTTCACATTTTCCCCTTCCCGCTAACTCTCATACTAGATCTGTGGCTCTTCTTCTGCCCAACTGTTAGATAGGGTGGATTCAGAGGCATTTCGTCTTATTGACTCTCCTCCTTTAGTTGATAATCTCTCTTCTCTTTCTCTCCGCCGTAATGTTGCTTCACTCTCTCTTTTACAGGTACTTTAACGGGCAATGTTCGGTTGATTGGCATCCTGTGTACCGCCGGCAAGGCCGTGGGCTCGTAACACACGTCTTGCCCGCGGTGCCCACCGTTTCTCTGTGGATGTCGGTCACACTAGAATAACCCGTTATACTGTAGTACCTCCTTCTTTCCTCACACAGCCAAACTGTGGAATGTTTTGCCTTCTTCTGTGTTTCCATACTCATACAATCTGTCTCACTTTAAAAAGCTGGTTTTCCGTCATCTTCTTGGTGTAGATAACACACTCTTTTTGTACCTGTATTTTTTATTTTTTTATCGTCCCCCCAGTTGCCGGTCGGTGCCCAGCTGGGCTATTCCCCGTAAAACACCCGCCACGGTTTGTCATAAACAGATGAATTCTATAGAAATTCTCTTCCTGTCACTATATGTAACTTGCTGACAAAACCAAATGGCGCTTTAGGTACTTGCGTCCTTAATGTCTAAATCACGAAGGCAAGCATGAACTCCGTATGCTTTCCTGTTGGGCGCTGTAAACGCTTTTGCGCTTCACCTTGCACAGGATGCAAGAGGCTGGTGTCCAATAAACTAGCCCTCTCGTGGGGCAAATGTGTAAAAATCTGAAACACACACACACACACACACACACACACACACACACACACACACACACACACACACACACACACACACACACACACACACACACACACACCAGAGAGAGAGAGAGAGAGAAGACAGTATAAGGCTATATACCTGGCAGTGAAGGGCCGTACAGGTGAGTGTTAATGACTGAACTGTTTACCTGTGGCGTAGAAGGTGAGGTGGGAAAAGGCGGAGGGGGAAGGAAGGAGGGCGGAAACGGGGGGAGGGAGGGAGGGATGAGGAAGGGCCAGTAAGGGAAGGAGGTGGTGGGGAAGGGGGACAACTGGTGGGTGTTATTTATTAGTGCACACACACACACACACACACACACGGTGACGCACTTTATGAAATGCTTCTTTATATATTCTCATTAATGTCTCATTGTTTGTTATTCGTGTGTATGGGTGGGTGGGGTGGTAGTGGATGAGGTGTTAATGGCAGAGGTGGGTGTAATGATAGCGGTAGTGGTGGTGGTGGTATGTGGTCCAAGTGTATAAAACAATAAATATTCAACACTCACCACCATTAACCTAACCACCCCCATCTTACCTTCCTATTGAATACCGTAACACTTAACTCTATACAATATATTTAGGTCACCTCACACTCCTTTGTCCACTGAACCGCTGAACACGAGTAACCTCAACCATTGTGTTATAGTTACTGCTCGTATCCGTTTTCTCTTACATTTTCTCTTACTATATTTTCTTAGGGGAAACTCTTCTAAACTTTCCAACTGTAACATTAGCCAATCAGCATCCGTATTCGTATCCTCTTCGTCACTGATTGGCCTGTTAGCTACTTGGGAGGTCGGTTATGGTTCTGTTACGTACTGTTTATGAACATATGGAGTCAATGAGAATCTGTATGACGATATTACTTTCTATCTTTCTATCTATCTTTCGTTTACTACAAACATGACAGGCAGCCGACATCGGTCACGGGTCTGCAAAATATTATCCGTAAGCCACTGATCAAATTTGTTTATGATAACAGTAATAGAAATACAGTTAACGTGACGTAATGATAAAGGAACACCCAATGACATCATTCATCTCGACTCTAATCCTCCTGAAATACAAAAACAAACAACACCAACGAAAGCTCCTTATTTAACCCTCTTTTATGTATTTAATCTCTCAATAAACCACAATGAAATGATAAAAATGTTGCTATTATACATCAAACAACATACACAACTAAGAAACATATCTTCAGTTCATGCATATCGAGGATAATTGAGGCATTGTATCTGGTAGTTTCACTTCTTTACGTCGTTTTCGCTCTTCAGGATGACCCGCTAGTGTGTATGTGTGTGTGTCGTCGGTGGAACAATAACAAGGTAATGATGTAATAATATCTGAGTGTAGAGGATGATGTGTGTGTGTGTGTGTGTGTGTGTGTGTGTGTGTGTGTGTGTAAATGCGTACTTACATGAAAAACATTAAGCGTGTGGTAGATGGTAAGGGAGGCGTAGGAGGAGAGAGGCGGGGTGAGGGAGGCGTGGTGTGAGGGAGGCGTAGGAGGAGGGGAGGCGTGGGTGTGATGGAGGCGTGGGTGTGATGGAGGCGGGTCCAGTGAGGCAGGAAGGTGGATCTAGGGCCACGCTTCCGTCCTCATGGCAACAGGTGGTGTGGAGGTGTGACGTGTGGATTCCTCCAGGCGTGAGCTCTCAACTGGAATTCCACCTATTAATTCGTGTCTGTGTACGTGTTCAGTTGTATGTGTGTGTGTGTGTGTACAGATTACAGATTGCCCCGGAGGGGGCTAGTTTATTGGGCACCCCCTTACATCCTGTGCAAGGTGAAGCGCAGAAGCGTTTACAGTGCCCAACTGGGAAGCATGCTTACTTCATGCTTGCCTTTATGACTCATGCATTAAGGGCGTGGAAGCCTGAAGGGTCATGGGTTTTGTCAGCAAGTTACATAAAGTGACAGAATGATGAGTGTGTGGGGGGAAATTCCCGGTACATTTCATCTGTTTATAGCAAAGTGTGGCAGGTCCCTTATAATGTCAAGTGCCAGGCCTGTGACTAGGAGGAAGGATATCTGGTCAGGGAGGGAAGAGGTGTTGGTAACGGCTGGGGACCTATAGGAGGAGGTCATAGGGCAAGTGAGGATGTAGTGAGAGAGGGTGTGAGAGTCGGGTTGGCCACAAAGTTTACAAACAGTGCGGTGAGGCTCAGGGTTGCCAATGTACTCCCATAGGTACCTGTACCCTAGGCGCAGTCTCATGTATATAAGCTGTTGAGATCGAGTCAGGGATTGATACTCTTTGTAGTGGAGGTTGTCGTCACCGGTTACAGCGTCATAGTGGCATAGTGTGACGCTACCCCGTTGTTTCAGGTGTGTCCATTTTACGTCGAATGCTTCTCGTTGTGCGGCGTGTATGCGAGATTTGAGATGATTCAGGGAGAGGGCGAGAGTGGCTTCAATATCTTCTTGTGTAGCTTCTTTGGCAAGCCGATCAACAGTGTCACAGGCAGTTATTCCTATATGTGACGGGATCCAAATAAACTTGACACGGATGTCATCAGTTTGTTCTAGCCCGGCGAGGGCGGCTAGGGTGTGTTGGGCGGCAGGAGAGGAGGGGGAGGGTAATTTGAGCCTCGATAGCGCAGAAGTGCTGTCACTGATTTTAGGAGGTTCCGGCGTTCAGTGCGAGCATAGGTCGCCCCGTCATGAATGCCCGCGAGGATGGCTATGCTTTCAGTGTCAGTGGAAGAGGCCCAGTCGTGGACCCTGATTTTCCTGCGGGCCCGGCGCTCAGGAATCCACACAGCTGCCCCAGCGTTGCCCAGCGTGGTAACAGACCCATCACAGTAGACGAGGATAGGAGGGAGGAAGATCGTAAGAGAAGAGGCGACATCATCAATCTGCTCAAGGCAGTTAAGTTTGAGCATATACCACAGTTGGGTGGATTTACGACCAGGGAAGGTGTGGACGACAACATCAACACTCGGGGAGGTCCACGGCGGTAGAGGCGGATGAGTGTACTCGGGAGGGAGAGATGTCTGTGTGTGTGTGTGTGCTTCCCTGGCCCATGGGTGGTAGGACCTTAAGGTCAAGGTCAAGTGTCAACATGGAAGACACCCAATGTCTATTAAACAAGTTAACTCCACCTGATGATTAGGTTAGGTTAATCTTAAGGGGAAATTAGCTGGGGTGTCTAAAATTAAAGTAATCCTCTATGGTATCTACTCCTTCAGGCACACCGCTGTTTCCTTCACCCCCGTTCATTCATTTCTTTCCTGGTCCCCCCCATCCATCTCTGAGTTGTACATGTTCTTTCCATCCAGCTACTTCCTAGTCTCGTTGGGCGGCAAACACTACACACACACACACACACACACACACACACACACACACACATACACACACACACACACACACACACACACACACACACACACACATCATTTTAACTCTCCATCATTATCCTGTCCACTGCCCAACCCTGACTTCACATTCTACTTTCCAGTACTTTCCCCAGCTACTTCCACCAGTAATACTTTCTCAGGTATTTCCGCACACTCACACGACCGAATAATCAGGACGGTGTTTTGGCTTAACGTGAGTCTTCCTGTTTTTCTCACAGTTCATTTACCTTTTTCTGCTTTCTACTGTGTTATTCTGTGTCTTGTGAGGTGGACGTGTGTGTGTGTGTGTGTGTGTGTGTGTGTGTGTGTGTGTGTGTGTGTGTGTGTGTGTGTGTGTGTGTGTGTGTGTGTGTGTGTGTGTGTGTGTGTGTCGTAATGGTGGACAACGTGTGAGGTTATTACAGCTTGTAAATTATTCTACCTGTGCTTATACCTGTACCTGTAACTGTAATTATACCTGAACTATACACCTGTGTTTGTACCTCTTAACTGTATTTTTAACTATACCTGTACTTGCCATTGTTTCAGTAGTAATTATCTAAATAATATCTCTTTCCGGAGTTGGTTGCTCAGTACCAGTTAAGAATCACCTGTAACCTAACCTACCCTAACCTACCCTAACCTAACCTACCCTACCCTAACATCTGGTATATACTTTCTGGTGCCTCAAAATACAAAGGTTATAATACACTTTAATATGTACTACAAATACAGATAATACGTTTAGTTACAGAAATTACCTAAAGTAATAAACCGGATTAATAGTTTTAGTTACAGAAATTATGAAAATAAAAATCAATACTTACTTTCCTTCCTGGCCAAGGCTGATGACACACACGGGCCAAACACCATTATCACCATCATCATCATTACAGTCTTTATCACCCTCCACGCCCACTGCACACCACTACGCCTCATCACAATCTCTCTTCTACTTCCCTCACCACCACACACACGCCCACAATCACAAGAATATCTTAGTTTCATGTTAACTTTCAAGTGCTGTTTTTGACTTCATTTTATTTATCATGTCTAATTTAGGTCAAACTTCCTTTCAGTAATTTCTAATATCGCTCATAAGCTTACGTCACTAATTACAGTTGTTTACATTACACTTGTTATCAATATTTAATCACAAGAAGATTTTTATTATTATGTGGTATTAACAGGGAGTGATGCTCAGTCTGCCCAGTGTCCGTCCAGTCGTGTCTCCTCAGTGGGGTGTGTATCCCGTTTTCTGTTGTAGCTCTGTTTGTTTACGTTTTCTGTTGTAGCACTGCTTGTTTACGTTTTCGTTGTACTCTGTTTGTTTACGTTTTCTGTTGTAGCTCTGTTTGTTTACGTTTTCTGTTGTAGCTCTGTTTGTTTACGTTTTCTGTTGTAGCTCTGCTTGTTTACGTTTCTTTTTGTAGCTCTGTTTGTTTACGTTTTCGTTGTAGTTTCTTGTTTACGTTTTCGTTGCAGCACTGCTCTGTTTTACGTTTTCTGTTGTAGCCTGTTTGTTTACGCTTTCGTTGTAGCCTGTACGTTTTCGTTTGTTTGTTTACGTTTCTTTTGTAGCTCTGTTTGTTTACTTTCGTTGTTTGTTTACGTTTTCTGTTGTAGCTCTGTTTGTTTACGTTTTCTTTTTGTAGCCTGTTTGTTTACGCTTTCTGTTGTAGCTCTGTTTGTTTACGTTTTCTTTGTAGCTCTGTTTGTTTACGTTTTCTGTTGTAGCTCTGTTTGTTTACGTTTTCTTTCTTTACCGGAGATTTTCAACTCAGTTTGTTAATATCTTTTATCTCTATGTAAGTTATTTTTATTCACTATTATTTTAGGTATTTTCATTTGATAGTGGACGAAACTGATGATTTTCTAGACATTAATATTGGTAGTCTGGGAATTTATTAATATATCTGGTATTGGTAGGCCTGATCCTTCAATCTCTCCCTGTGATTGGTAGTCCTGAGTCTGCTTATTTCCTTGGTAAGTCTAGAACTCTTCCTTAAGGTTGGTATGCCTGGGGACCTTCAAGGTTGTGGGGCCTTTCAGTATTTACATTACGGTTGGTACCGCTGGGAGTCTGTCTTCTCTTATACATTCTACTGCACAACTGATGTAAGGGTTGGTAGGCCTGTAATCACCCCTTGTGTTGGTAGGCCTAGAGTCGCCCCTTGTGTTGGTAGGCCTAGAGTCGCCCCTTGTGTTGGTAGGCCTGGAGTTACCCCTTGTGTTGGTAAGCCTGGGTTCGTCTCTGCGATATGGTTGCCTCCGTTGATCTGCGAAAAGAAAATATTTTTACAATAATAATAATAATAATGAATAAAGAGTAGAAAGGGAAGTAAAACTACGAAGAAGAAAAATGTGAACGCCATTAAAAAACGATACAAAAATTAATAAGCACATTACACCTACAAAACACAGTCAACAGGAAACGGGAATGTAAACACTGGCTTGATCAGAAGGGGAGAATTTCATGCGTTTCACGTTCCAATTGGTATAGGTGTAACCCGGTTACCTGTGGTGGTGGTGGTGAAGTGTGTGTGTGTGTGTGTGTGTGTGTGTGTGTGTGTGTGTGTGTGCGCGCGCTTCTTTCTCTACTTTAATTTAACCTAACCAGATCATAACCTAACCTAACCTAACCCAACTGACACGTCGAAGAGCAACACGTCCAAATTTCCTTAAGTCCCAAGTCAAGAGTTATGGCGGAACTATGAACCGCTTCCTGGCGCCGTTTGAGTCACATCCGCCCAAACGTTCCTGCCAGAGGCGTCGACGATTCACACGGGATGGGAAAGTCCTTCGTCACTATCAAAGGTGCTTCAGGAGTCTTAAGAAAGCGTGAAGGATTCTCTTGGTTGAGTATAAGAGAGAACTATGTGTGTGTGTGTGTGTGTGTGTGTGTGTGTGTTTTGATTGAGCGTCTCACCGCCTGAGTTTGTTAAAGTTCGTCAACAGATTTTTGTTGACCTTCCACACACACACACACACACACACACACACACACACACACACACACACACACACACACCCCAATATAGGTAATACTCTTAAAAAAAATCTTCCCTTAGCTTGATCGACATAACAGGTAATACATCATTGGTTCTTGTTGAAAGGAAAAGTGTTGCGTTTTGAGGTAATCTTGTGATTGTCGTGAGGTGATGTAGAGAATCTTACTCATGTGGTGTTTGAGAGAGAGAGAGAGAGAGAGAGAGAGAGAGAGAGAGAGAGAGAGAGAGACATTATCAGCATCTAGGTTAGAGTTTTCCACTAATTAAATTGTAACACTGTTCTCGTTTGACCTTCGGGAGTGACTCAGTCAATTTCAGTGGTGGGATGATGTGGTTGGTAGAGTGATAGAGTGGTACAGTGGTAGTGTGGTAATGGGGTAGAGTGGTAGTGTGGTACAGTGGTAGTATGTTAGTAGGGTAGAGTGGTACAGTGGTAGTAAGGTAGAGTGGTAGTGTGGTAGTGCGATAGACAGGTTGAAACAAACAGAGACAAAATGATAGAAAGTCAAACGAAAAGGCAGACAGCAAGAAAGTGCAACTAGACAAACAGACAGACAGACTAACAATCAGACAGGTGAACAGGTAGACCAAGACAGATAGACAGACAAAGACACACAGACAGACCAACAGACTAACAGACAAACAGCTGATGAACACAATAATTAGTGACCGTGGCAGACCCAGGTAAATCACATCTGCCATCTGCCGTCCAGTATTGCCATGAATTACTTTGTCAACACTACCACCTAAGCATTCGTGTCTCTTCCTGTGATGACGTCTGATAGTAAACATTGTGGCATTGGTGTTTACATTGAGTCGATGTTTATATAAAGAAAAAAAAACGTTGCTCCGGGAACAAACGTTAGCGAGGCATCTTAAAACGTTCAAGTTAGCCAAAACGTTGATGAGTTCACCTTGATAAAACGTTTGTGTGACAGGAACAACACATCACGAGGTAGGTATGTGTCCTAGAGAAGAATATGTGTCATAAAAGAGATGGTTATGTGTCCTAAAGAAGATAGTTATGTGTCCTAGTGGTGTATGAGTCCTAAAAGAAATAGTTATGTGTCCTAAAGAGCTGTAGGCTTCATGTAGATGGCAAGACAGGCCTGAAGAGAGAGAGAGAGAGAGAGAGAGAGAGAGAGAGAGAGAGAGAGAGAGAGAGAGAGAGACACTTGCTTGACGTGATGAAAGAGGAGAAAAGGTGAGAAAATGAGGGACAGGTGGTTAATGAGGCGATTACCTGAAGTGGGTTGACATATGTTGTTGTTGTTGTAAGAAGTTTACAGATATAGATAAAATTGAAGAAAATTATATTAGTGTTTTTATTCATTTATTATTATTATTATTATTATTATTAACTAACAGAAGGTAACAGTGTGCATTATCAGTGAGAAATATTTAGGTAGGAAAGACAGTAGACATTCCTCTCCATATCCCTCAGTGAGAAGTACCTAGAGAAAGATAGTGAGAAACATCTACTTACACAAAAGACAATACAGTAGATATCTCTCCCTATACCCCTCACTGAGAAGTATCTATATAGAGAAGGGTGTCAGTAGGGCTGTTTGTGGCGTCTTCCTCAACCAATCTTTCTCTCTCACTAATTACACAATCCGTTTATTTCTCATTTCCTCAATTTATCGTCACTTCCTTATTTCCTCCTTTGTTATTTTGTTCGTCATATTTTTAACCTCCTGTTTTATTATTTGTTTATCGTTTTATTAAGTTTTATCATAATTTTTGCTCCTAATTATTCCTGTTTGTGTATTTGTGGTGCATAGATGGTGTACATATGCACGTGTGTATGTATGTATGTATGTATGTGTGTATGTATGTGTGTGTGTGGGAGGAAGGAAGAATAATGTGTGGTGGACAAGAGGATTAGGTGTGTGTGTGTGTGTGTGTGTGTGTGTGTGTGTGTGTGTGTGTGTGTGTGTGTGTGTGTGTGTAACACCAACAACAACAACACTACCAGAATAACCACTATCGGCAACCACAATCCTCCCTACATCAATTTGACGTTTATTTAATTTTTCTTTGCTATCATTAACTACTACAACTACCACCATCAATCACCACTACCACCATCAACCACTACTACCACCATCAATCACCACTACCACCATCAACCACTACTACCACCATCAATCACCACTACCACCATCAACCACCGCCACTACCACCATCAACCACCACTACCACCATCAACCACCGCCACTACCACCATCAATCACCACTACTACCACCATCAACCACCACTACCACCATCAACCACCGCCACCATCAACCACCACCACCACAATCAACCACCACTACCACTATCAACCACAACACACAACCATAACTATTTACTACACTCACGTATATCAACACAGGGATGGAGGAGGGGAAGGAAGGAAGGAGTGTTAGGAGGGGAAGGAAGGAAGGAAGGAAGGTTGAGGGAAGGAAAGAAGGGGAGGGAGGAGAGAAGGCGGAAAGGAGGTAAGGAGGGAGGGAAGGAGGGAAGGAGTGTTGAGGGAGGGAGGGAAGGAAGGAGTATTGAGGGAGGGAATGGAGAGAGAAAGACGTGAGAGGGAGGGAAGAAGACGAGGGAGGGAGTTACAGTCACTCACCACCAGTTACAGTTACTCACCACAAGTTACGGTCACTCACTGGAACTCGAACTGTTTGTTGTTTTCCACGAAGTTTCAATTAAAAGTCTCAAAAAGTTTTACAAGAATTGACAGTTTCAAACTTTCTTTCGTTTTATTTTCACCGTAACTAAATAAGTCAATGTATCAAGTAACAGTACAGTCTCTGTCTAATTTCGCCGCCATTACTGTCAGTCATTATGTCGTGTACGTTAAGTGTGATAAATAATCCAAGAACAGGATATTAGTTGACCTCTGTTCTAACCTAACCTAACCTAACATATTAAAGTGATGTGACTATATAAAAAATAAAAAAACATGAAGTAACTAAGTAAAATTACACCCAGATCGTAACACAAATATAAAAACACTAATTAAACTGATGTTGCGAATTAATACTGCACAAAATATTAACACAATTAGTTGAAAATATAACTCACTGAGGAGACTGAAGGGCAGGTGTAGTGGAGTACCTAGCACACGCGAGTACGGCGACCATTAACACACACTAACACTAGGTCGTGGGAGCAGAGAGGAGCAGCAGGTCCTCTTCCTCCGCCACACAACACCACACTGACTGACTGATGATAAGAACATAAGTTAAAACTCAGCCACAAGGTTCCCACACTCACACTGGCCTTAGTGTGTGTGTGTAGTTGCCTCGGGCGATTTCTATTGTTTTCTCTTACGCTAACTATCTAAGGATCTTTCTAGGTCCTACGATGGATATTATCCTTCGTAAGCGAAGATGTAGGACTCCATCTGAAGTGTTGAATATACTTTTATCCAGAAATTACAAATTACATTAATTACAGTGATTAAGAAAGTTAAAATAGCCAAAAATGTAATTTACCACAATATCATAAAAAAAACATTATATAATATTTACAATAACCAAGGCATTAGAAAATTTAACGGGATTAAAATAATAAACTCTAGCCTAGTTATTAAAGTACGACAGACACAGACAGACACAGACAGACAGACACACAGACAGACACACAGACAGACAGACACACAGACAGACAGACAGACAACTTGAACTAAAAAATTATACAGTATATCTATTTACCTTTTACATTGTTCATGCTATAATGTATTACTGAGCTTCAACAACTAAAGTCTTTATGATGTTGATGTTAGTTCTTGAATCTCATTAATAAAATATTCAATCGACACAGTACAGTAATAATCATAGTTGGGACATGTGATACGCCTCCTACTCGTGACGTTGAATTTTAGCAGCCATGGAATCTCTTTCTGATTGCGCCCATTAAATCCGGCATATGTGTTTATAATTATGCGTCGTATTGTACTGGGCAAATTGTACAGTTACCCAAATATAGTAGTTATCAAAATTTTAAAATAAAGAAACCTACAATTAATTAGTTACATTTACATTGCAATAAACAAAGTATTTAGGAGAATTGCTAAATTAGATATCTAACACCAGGTATACACGGTTCCTCTGTGATGTGGACACCATGATGGTCTTACTTGAGTCAGCCATCCAGCCCAGGCACCAGTTGTTGCTCTTGCTAATGACATCATAATTCTCACACACAGAGGAATTGTTTAAACGTACCGGCTTACCACAAGTGTCCGTTGTGGGAATGTTAAGGAAAAAACAGTTTATTTAAAACTTGTAATATCATGTGAACAAGAATTGTGGGAAAAAGAACATTTCTAATTTTCCAGGATAGTGCAAGTGGGCCCCCCTCTCACCCTCCCGCAGACACCCATGCATGTGCAAAAAAAATTAATTGACAATCATAATTAAAGTGTATTCATAAATTATGTATGTGGTTTAGCTTATAAAATTTGCATGTGCATGGTAACAGTGCTTTTCGTTGCCTAAAAATGTATATAATGGAATACATACACATCACTTTGTCTTGTAAGTAGAAGTGTAACCCAACACAACCTAACCAAATCCTAACTCAAACTAATCTAAACCAACCTAATGTAACCTCACCAAATATAACTTAATTTACTGTAACCAAACCGAATTTATCCTAATCTAATCTAAAGTAACCTAACCTAGCCCAATCTAATGTAAACTAACCTAACCAAATCTAATCGAACCTAACCAGGATAAAGCTGAGGCATTGAACAGCTTATTTTCCTCGGTGTTCACAAGAGAGGATGCGATTAACCTTCCTGCGTTTGAGGACAGACGGTTCGACACAGCACTGACCCACATTGTGTTCACAGAAGAGGGTATTAGAAATAAACTGTCAAAGCTAAAGGTCCATAAGAGTCCCGGCCCGGACATGGTACATCTCAGAGTGCTAAGAAAGTTGTGCAACGAGCTTGCCGAGCCTCTGAAGATCCTGTTTTGTAAATGCCTGGATAAACAAAAGGTCCCCAGTGAATGGAAAGTGGCTTATACTTTTACTTGTATCCTCTTCACCACTCATCAGCTCGTTAGCCGCTTGGGCAATCGGTCACATCTCTGTTACGCACTGTTGGCAAGTGCTGGGCATGTACTGGTTCCTGAATGTACCTGAACCTGCTGCAGTGTTGGTCAAGTCTGGTCTTGAAAAGGCTCACACTCGGTGCCGTCACAACACTCTCTGGTAGATTGTTGCAAGAGTTCACAACTCTCACTCCGAAAAAGTTTGCCCTCACAGTTTTCTGGACTTGCGGCTTCTTCAACCTGAGCTGTGACCCCTTGTGGGGCGAGCGTCCGCCAGCTCCAAGTAAGGACACTCGACTGACTAGTGCCCCTTGAGATGCTTATACACCTCAATTAGGTCGCCCCTTGCCCGTCTGTAGTATAAGTTAGGCAAGTTCAGGCGCTCCAATCTTTCAGGGTAGCTGAGGTGCCGAAGTGCAGGCACCAGTCTGGTGGCCCTCCTTTGAACATTTTCAACCAACTGAGTCAGTTGGTTGGGACTGTCAGTTGAACTGATAGTCCCTAGCATATCTCGGGGACTAGACGGGGTGACAGTACTCCAGATGGGGAAGCACTTCACTCCTGAAGATCGTTAGAGGATAAAAGTAACCTTACCTGCATAACCTAACATCCTAATCTAACCTAACCAAACAAACATACATTATTCTAATAGCTTTTTTGCTTATAATCTGTAATGTATAATTCATTTTGCAAAAATTGACCAAAGTTCCATTATGTGAACTTTTTGTTATTAAAAATAATATACGCTAAGGTTAATTTCTTTAATAATACTGTCCTGAATTAACTACATGATAATTATTCTATACATAATACTACTACTACTACTAATAATAATAATAATAATAATAAATAATAATAAATAATAATAATAATAATAATAATAATAATAATAATAATAATAATAATAATAATAATAATAATAATAATAATAATAATAATAATAATAATAATAACAATAACAATAACAATAATAATAATAATAATAATAATAATAATCGTCAACCAAATCTGGAGAATTTTATCTGTAATCACTAGTTCAAACAATAATTCTAAGACGCTTTTCTTCTATGACGTTTCCCTCGCAAACGACCAATATTTTTGTTATTGTTATTGTTAGCCATTTAATTAAAGTGATACTCGGTTGGTCTCTTTATTACTACGGCAATACATTTAAACTCATTTAAGTCCCGCATTTAAGTCCCGCATTTAAGTCCCGCATTTAAGTCCCGCATTTAAGTCCCGCATTTAATCTCATTCATGTCACAATGTTAAACCAAAATTAAACAATCGTCTTCATATTATGATTATCTCTAGAAAAATGTTGTTGCAATGTATTAATATAATTTACAGTTTAAATAAGATTATAATAGCTTTTTTAATTTATTACATTTCTAATATACAGTAAATAGCTGTATATTGCTTGGTAAATAGTCCTGTTGCTCGTGGTTTATTTTCTACATTAAGCAAGTTGATCATAACAACTATCATCCGTGATCCTTGGAGTCTTGTTCGCTGTTACATTATTAACAGATTATTTAGCTACTTATGTATATTAAATGTGGATAATAATGACCACCACAACTCTAGCAAGATTGGTATGAGTGAAAAAGACCAAGATGGTATATAACATAAGAACATAAGGAGTCTGCAATAGGCCGGTTGGCCTGTGCATGGCAGCTCCTGTCAGAGTTACTACCACTCTCTATCATCCATGAATCTATCAAGCCTCTTTTTGAAACTTTCCAGCGTTCCAGCACTTACTACAAAGTTGCTAAGCTTGTTCCACTCGTCCACCACCCTATTTGTGAACCAGTTCCTTCCTATCTCCCTCCTAAACCTTAACTTATCCAACTTGAATCCGTTGCTCCGAGTCCTATCCTGCTCGGATATTATAAGAACTTTATCTATATCCCCTTTATTGATTCCTTTCACCCACTTAAATACTTCAATCATATCTCCCCGCACTCTTCGTCTTTCTAGGGAATGCAAGTTAAGTTTCTTTAACCTATCCTGATATGGAAGGTTTCTAAGTCCCTGAATCATTTTTGTCATTCTTCGCTGCACCGACTCTAGTGAATTGATATCCATTCTATAATAAGTGCACCAGGACTGAACCGCATAATCGAGGTGCAGCCTGACTAGCGCAAGATATAGTTGCAATAAGACCTCTGCACTCTTGTTACTTACACTTCTAGATATAAAACCTAATACTCTGTTTGCCTTATTTCGAACATTAATGCACTGTTTTCTAGGCCTTAGGTCCGGGCTTACAAGTACCCCTAGTGCTGCTATAGTTAGACAGAGGTATATATTACTGGCCCCTCGTCGCTAGTTTACTATATGAAGAAAGTCTATTGTAGCACTATAGTAATGCTTCATTGTTACTGTTTATTGACTTATTGGGTCAATGTTTAGTAAATGACACCAAGCAACTGAATATTGAAAATAGGTTTTTCTAGTGTAAATCATTGTTAAATACAAATATGTTCTTTTGGTTAATATATAGGACTAACCCGCCGGCGAAATTGGTTGAAAACAATTATAAAAACGCCGGATTTTCATTGTTATATTATAGTTGACACTTGTAGTTTGTGGATATATGTTAAAAAAACGCTTATTTTTTTAATAAACGCTACTTAACATTTGGGGTTATGAAGAACAGACCCAACCAACCAAACCAAACAAACCCACCTAACTTTCCCAATATATAAAACAGAAAGAACTTACTATGATATAGTGAAATTTGAGGCATTTCTGGACGTGAGATGATATGGCCGCATCGGCACTATGCAGCCCGGCAGGTTAGTCCTATATATTAACCTAATCTACACCATGAAGATGCAGGAAAACCAGCTTTTTGAAGTGAGGCAGATTGCTGAGTATGGAAACACAAAAGAAGGCAGAGCATTCCACAGTTTGGCTGTGTGAAGAAAGAAGGATATACTATAACGGGTTATTCTAGTGTGACCAACATCCACCCATCACCATTTTTTACATGTAAAATAATATTTTTTGCTAGTTTTCTTGCTCTTTTATATGATTCTGACATTTATCTTTGGGGCAAATCACTTTTTTTGTAGATATTACCACCCCAACAGTATAGGGGACCACGTTGGGAATGTGGGATTTGGTGGCTGATCCCCGTCACT